TCTACAGCACAATAGAGTGAGACTAGCTAGTTAGGAGTTAGACTAAGAATATAATTGGTCGTCCAGGGCTTTGCCTGCTAGTTTTACTATACCAACCATTTATTTCGTATTTCGTATTCTGTATTTCATATCTCTTATATTGTTGTTATTGTATTATGCATTTTTATGGTACTAATATATCGGCTCCTATGACTTTTTTGAGTTGAGGGTCTCCTGGAAACAGCCTCTCTACCCTTCGGGGTAGGGGTAAGGTCTGCGTACATATTACCCTCCCCAGACCCCACTTGTGGGATTATACTGGGTCGTCGTTGTTGTTGTTGTAGTATATATTTTGATTTTTGCATGCATTCTATCCTTAAATATTCTTTATTTTTACAAACGTGTCGTGTTGATTATGATATGAAGTTTAGCAGCGGAGAGAATAAAAAGCAGTTGCTTTCCCTTTTGAAACTCAAGTTTTTATAGGATTACTTATATTCCAACTGAAGGAAGAAACAAAACGAAAACGAAAACGGAAGCCTCATAGAGCTTACATGACCAATTTCTTCAAATATATAGATAAACATTCTAACAACAATAACAAACCCAGTATAATCTCACAAGTGAGTTTGGGGAGGTTAGTCTGTACGCAAACCTTACCCCTACCTTATAAAGGTAGAGAGATTGTTAGATAGACCTTCGGCTCAGTAAAAACATAGTTACAATATTGTTGAAAAGAAATACAGTAGTAGATACAATAACAGAAAAAAAAACCCAGTAACATATCGAAACACTCATTGAATATAATTCAAAGTAATTGAAAACATCATGTAGCTTATCTACAGAATTAGAAACACACAAAGTTAAAGCTTGAAATGAGCTAGCATTGCCAATTCTAATTGAAGATGACAACAACAATATTAATATTCTGCAACTTTAGGAAGAGGTGATCATTTTCTTCTTTGCCATTAATTAGATATAGAAAAGGGACTAGCATTTGGTAGATCCATCATATATGTAATCAAGAATAGCGATAACTCCAACAACAAAAGCTTGATCTATTCCTGCCTTAACAGTTACAGTATACACATCATTGCTTGGCATCACTTGCTGCACCTCTTTCCTAGCTCCAACCTGCAATATTCCATTGTTTACTTTACTATTCATAAAAGGATTTAGGAAAAAGGGTCAGAAATATTCCTCTACTTTTAAATATTATCTATATTTAACCTCCGTTATACTTTACGGACATAAGTACCCCTACCGTTAGAAAAGTATCCAAATCTACCCAGCTATTAAAATGCCACAGTTGAAATGATCAAGGAAGGAGGAGCCACATTGTTGGAAAGTTGCAATTTTCATGTTTTTTAAAGTTCAACGTAATTAGAAAGGAAGAAGGGGAGCCTTGAGCAACGGTAAAGTTGTCTCAGTGTGATCTATAGGTTACATGTTCGAACCGTGGAAGCAGCCACTAATGCTTGCATTAGGGTAGGCTGTCTACATCACATCCCTTGGGGTGCGACACTTCCACTTCCCCAGACCCGGTGTGATTTGTGAATGCGGATTACTTTGTGCAACGGACTGTGGCTTTTAACCAAATAGAAAGGAAAAGTATATGAAAAACATGTCACCATTTAACCATGAAATCAATTACCTTTGCAATTACATTGCCAGAGGAGTCAATAATGCTGCAAGCTCTATCAGGGAAATAGCCAGAAATCTGGAAATTCTTATGATCATTGTAATCCTTTTGTTCAATGGAAATCTTGATTGGCATTTTCTTCGAGAAACAAGAGTTTTTGGGCTCTTTCAAGCAAAACACCAACTTTTCAGAACCTTCAAAATCTTTACTATAACCCCTCCATTTCTTTTGCATGCTTAATGCTTCAATTACTCCTCCCTGAAAATTGAAGGTATATAAGTCACGAATAAATTCCTTCACAATTGTTTTATAGATGCCGGAATAATTTCACAAATGCTCATCCAACTTTTAGTTTCATGCACAAAGTCAAAAAACTAATTTTTGTCCCGAAAAATAACTCAACGGCTATGCACATATGTGATAGAAATAAAAAGCGACGCACAATGCTAAATTTGGTCCTAGAAACACAAATAAGGCCATATGATTGAAACATGCACAGGGCAACATGATGCATGAAACATCTCGCGTTTATGCAGGATTCAGAGGAGGACCACGCCCCAAGGGTGTATGTAGGTAGCTTGCCCTAAACGAAGCATCAATAGCTGATTTCACGATTCAAACATGCATAAGAGTTGAAAATATATATTGCTTCTATTGCCAAATGTTACCTTTTTCCTGATAAGAAGTAAAGCATGTCCATAACTATCTTTGAGAATAAGTTCTTCCTTTTTTCCAAGAATTCCACATCCATCAACTTTGAAAATAACATTTTGGGCACAATTTGTGACAATAAAACCACCACCATTCACAACATGTGGGCGCCTTCGGACAACAAGAACTACCTCAGAAGATGAACAAAATACCTTACTAACTACAGCCATATTTGAGTTTATTGTGGTTGCCATTGTAATTTTGCCAAATTTTATGTCTAAGAAATGAAATTGATAGTGTGTATTTATAGTTTATAATGTCAAAGCAACTGTTCAAAAATCAAAGTTTGGTAGAGTTTTGATTGACTTATTGTATCAACCTCAAGAATCTTCTTGACTGCAACATGCATGGAGTTGTAAAGTTTGTATTAGCTTGTCCCTTACGCCCCTCAATATATATATAATGAGACCCTTGTATATGTTCTTTTGATTAACTTATAAGCACCGCCAGTGTAAATTTAAGTTTACATTATTAGTATATATAGGTTAATCTGTTGTAATTGTAATTTTCCAATTTTTTCAGGATTTAGCGTATATACATAGAAAATGTAAGAGTATTTTCATACTATTAATGTATTAACCGGATGTATGACAAGAGAGGATTGATAGATGATCAATACCCCTACCTATAATTCCAGGGTTATGGATTCGAGTGATCACCAAAGGAGTAATAGTTCTGATAAAGGGATCAAAGGGGAATTAAAAAAAAACTCGGATGTATAGTAAATAGTTTCGGTAATTATGAGAAATTACTTGAGTGAAATGACTTATTTAATAGTATATAGATTATTTTGCACAGTCAGCGTATAGAAGTAAAAATCAATTTTTTAGGTAAAAATTATTTATAAGTGGTTATCTTTGAAGTGATATAATAATGTAAAAAAATTCTTTACATGTGATTGATTTATTTGGATATCTTTTACAAGCAATTGAAAAAGGTATGTTTTTCTTTTACATTTTAACTTTCTCATATTAGTAAGTATTGAATGTCTTTTAAAAGCAATTCAAAAAGGGGTTTATTTTTCTTTCACTTTAACCTTATCATATTAATTTATTATTAAAGGTCTTTTACAAGCAATTCAAAAAGTGGTAATTGAGCTTTTGAAGTTTGGCTGCCTAATCACTGTATAGGGGAATATCTCGTTGAAATCGACCCTAATTTGCATGTTTTCTTTACTTGAGTGCATGAGATTTCTTCAATAGGGTTAGACTTTGTGGGTACGAGAATCTTATTGACTTTGAGTTAGAATTATTTGCTATTATTGTTCTTTTTTTTAAAATAAAATAAAATAAAGCATGCAACTTTAATTAGAAGCTTACTCTTACCTTAACAATTAAATTTGTTAATGGAACTCTAAAAATACGTGATCTATTTTTATGCTAATTGTTAAACAGTTGATGCTAGATATGTGAAGGTAAAGATAAAATGCGAGCTAAAATGGAATTATAATCGAACCGAGGGTTTAGCTGTTCGGACCTCGGACTAACTAATAAGGGGCCTCGAGGTTGATGCCTGGACTCGGGCTCGAGCTATCGGGGATAAGCGGAGAGGGCTAACAGTTAGGAATTAAGGAAGACTCTTTATTGGTCAATCGACAAGCAATAAATGAAGAACAAATATGAAGTCAACAAATAAGAGCAATAATATCGAAGGAATATGTTAGAGAGAAAAGAGAGAGAGTTGTTATTTATCTTGTGTAGAATAGTTGGAGCAATATCAGCCCTTTACAAAATGGCAAGGATCCCCTTTATATAGGAGGGGGATCCCCACATAGTACAAAATGCATTAATTATAAAGGTATGGAGATAGGACGGCTAGACGTGACACCCTGATACACGTTCGGGGCAGGCCGGCTTTGTCAGACTTAGCCGCGTGCCTTGGGAATTCCCCATTTTTACTCTAGCCCCGAGCGATATTCCCTTTAGGTCGGGCCTCGACGAGCTTCGAGGGAGGGAACTCGATCATAATTTCGCATCCTCGAGGCCTCGAGATGTTCTTCTGAAATGAATCAATAGCAAGAAATTGGACCCTCTGATTTCACCGCATACAAATCATTTTTCCCTTTTTGTTATTGTAAATATAACAAGTGTATAATGTATATTATATACTGATTCTACATTGATTATATACAGCATATTGGCCAAATCCACTTATCTAATTAATTTGTCTACTCATTGAGGACTCCTTATGGAGTATTAATTAGCGCTCCTTCTAAAGAAGACTCCATTTTTATGGATTCGAAATCTCTAGTTAAGGAGAGATAGAATATTTTTGCTATTCCACTGCACTGCACCTTTGGATGGTGAAAATTCCAAACTACCAATAATACGCATTAATTCCATAATAGTCGAAAGCATATATATGTTTTGTCTGAATAAATTCTTTTTCCTCCTTTTAAGATTTTTCAGAAATAACATACAAAAAAAAAAAAGGAGAGTATTAATTACGGGAGGAAATTAACAATCTACATGGAGGTTAGGACTCAAAAGTTTATTATATTAAAAAACAAAAGGTATTAACTGATTGACTACGTTTTTAACTACCACAAAGATTCGGGAAATGACTAGAAATTAATTTCTTAAAAGCTATTTTTTATCTTTTTCTTAAATAATCTATATTTAAAGAATATCTTGGAGATTTCCTTCAAGTTACGTCAAAGTCTGAGAGAAAAATTTTAAAATGTGCGGAATAGCTCTATTTCAAACTGCTCAAGTTAATTTTGGTATATTAAAGTGAAGCATGTAAGAATAACGACAAATAAAGGGTGATTTTTTGACTAAATTTTACATTGTTCAATAAATTAATTTTGAAAGCATCCACTAATAACAAGCGTCGCTTTGGCCGAGTGGTTAAGGCGTGTGCCTGCTAAGTACATGGGGTTTCCCCGCGAGAGTTCGAATCTCTCAGGCGACGATTGAATGTTTTTGTCGGTGTACAGTTAGGGGTCGTTTGGGGTGAGGTAATTATCATTAGTATAACTTATACCTTATTCTTAAAAGTTATCATTCTTAATACAACATACCAAACAGTGAATAAACAACAATCTCAGCATAAACCGTATGCCAACCAAACGACCCTTAATCTAGTCTCTTTTGCTTTTCGTCGGTGTACATTTAATAATTGACAAATGGTTCCTCTTCAATAAACAAGTATGAAGGTTTGAAACAGAAAAATAAACAAAAAGGAGCTGGTTATGTGTGAGTACATTTTGAAGGAAAAGGTAGAGTAATTCTTGTGTGAGAATTAAGAGGTGTTATAAATGTGATAGACCTCTTCAGTCGTTTCATACGTTGTTGGTTATTTTGTAACTGAAATAAATATAATAAGATGTAATAAATAGGATAGTAAATGATCAATTTTCAACTATTAAACAAATTAGAAGAAAGAATGAAGGGAAAGAAAGCAAAAGGAAAAGGAGAAAAAGAGATAAGTAGGATCCTTGGCCAAAGAGATGTGCCAAATAATCTTGTTTATAATTAGTTTATAGAAAAGAGAAAAAAAATTTCAGCAAGATGAATAAAAAAATCAGTACATATATTGATAAAATCCCAATATAAATATTTTAGTAGAATTAGAGCTTTGATAAACTATATTTTGTTTGTCAAATATTCTTTAAAATTAGAAAAAAATTAAAAAAAATATTTCATATATTCTGTGCATGGGGAATATTATTAGAGAAAAAAATAAATAAGTTTTTAAATGAATTGATTGTCTCTCTATCCTTTATTTTTTTATTATTTATTTTCTATTCTTTTTCTCCTTCTGCTACTTCCTTTATTAATTACTTTGTTTTCTTTTTCTTTCTCTATCTCCTCAAGCCCTTTCTCCTACGGTTACTCCAAAACAAATCAAAAACTTTGCTCTCTTATTGATGCTTATAAATTTTTATATTTTCTCTTCATTTCCCTCGTAATATGCAATAAGTTTTCCTTTATGTCAACATTTTGGTTACTCATCATTTAAATAGAGAAAAATAACTCTCCAAATGTGATGATGGGTCATCTAGAGTTTAAAATCTTAATTCTGTGTTTTGAAATCTCAAGTAGCTTCTTTTAGCCTTCCTCAATTTGCGTGCACAGTTCGCGCCTTTTCCCGAAAAGCTTTTATGTGAAAAATTAATAAAATGAGAATTTGTGCCTTAAAAATCTATTTGAGTTGACTTCAGTCGATGTTTTAAGTAAATGGATCCGGATCCGTATTTTGGCGGTCCTAGTGGGTCCGTATCGGGAATTGGGACTTGAGTGCCCAGAATTGAATTCGGAGGCCTCTAGCTCGAGTTATCGCATTTTTTCAAAAATTTGAAGTTTAAAGGTTGAAAGAATTTAAAGATTTGACCAAAGTTTGACTTTATTTGCGAAGAAGACTTCGCTTTGCGAACAGGGGCTAGGGGGGTTGGTTTTCGCATTTCCGAGATTTGGGGACGCATTTTGCGATCTCCTCAGGTTCGCATTTGCGAGCATATTGTTCGCATTTGCGAAGCCATCAGGAATGTGAAGACTTCGCATTTGCGAGGAATTTTTCATATTTGTCGGGTTCACAATTACGACATCTGCGTCTGGTCAAAACCTGAGTTAGACGGGATTTTTCTCATTCTTTTAAATTTTCAACCCTAAAAAACTTAGAGGCGATTTTTTCAAGAAGTCTTTTTCCCCAATTCATTGGTAAGTGACTCTAACCTACTTTCTTTCAATTACCCATTATATTTCATAAGATTTCAACCTTAAATCTAGGATTTTCATAGTAGAAATATTGAATTTGGGTAGAATTAGAAATTTTTGTAAAATTAAAATTTAGACCTCAATTAATTAAGGTCGAATTTCGAAATAAATTACATAACCGGGCTCGGAGGTGAATGAGTAATCGGATTTTGGTCCAAATTTCGGGTTTGGACCAAGCGGGCCCGGGAGTTGACTTTTTCAACAATGACCTAAATTGAACCTCTTTCATTCATGGGTAGTTCCTAAGGCTTATTTTGAATCGTTTGGTTGATAATTTTCTAGATTTGGTTGGTTCGAAGGCTTGTTCGAAAAGCAAAGTCGTGGTTGAGCTTTGAGTCGATTTTGGAGCGAGGTAAGTATCGTGGTTAACCTTAACTTGAGGGACTGAGACTTATTGCCTATTTGCTACATGTTTAAATATTGGGTACAACGTATATGTGAGGTGACGAGTACTTATGCGTTGTTGGTGGGTTAAAAGTTAAAACATGCGGGTGTAACTTGTTTCTTATAATTTATTTCCTTCTTTGATTATGGTATCCATGCTTAGACTAGTTTATTACTTAATTGATCTTTCTTTCCGCATTTATGAATTATTTGTGATAATTGAGTATTATTGGAAGTTGAGGTTCGGTATTGTGGAACCGTTGTTGACG